CCTCTCTCTCTCTCACTCCCTTACCCCTCTCTCTCTCTCACCCTCTCACTCTCTCTCTCTCTCTCTCTTTCTCACCCCCTCTCTCCCTCTCCCTCTCTCTACCTGCTCTCCCCCAAGACCACCACCCCCGCTCATCAACACGTTTATCTACCAGCTAATGACTAGCAATTGGTGAGAAAGCGTGTTTGCACTGCGTTCTAGTAAACCGCTCAGCTGATCTGTGACGAGACGTATACATACATAGATAAATGCACGGATGAGATGGATGGAGGAACGTACTACTAGACTAGTAACTTCCCCAGCGCGTTAAGTTTGGGAAGGAGGTGGAGAGTGGAAGGCAGGGGATGGGAAGGGAGAGAAGGAGAGGAGAGCAGGGGGAGGGGAAGGGAGAGGAGGGGTGAGGGGAGGTGGAGAAAGGAGGGGTGAAGGATGGTGAGAGCGCATGTTTGCACTGCGCTCAGTAGATCGCTCAGCTGAGGCGGTTACGGTACGTATATATATAGATGGATGGATGGATGGATGGATGGATGGATAGATTGACAACTCGTACCACAAGACTAGTAACTTTCGCTCGACCGACCGCCCACCCGTCTGCCCGCTCACTCACTCACTCACTCACTCACTCACTCACTCACTCACTCACTCACTCACTCACTCACTCACTCACTCACTCACTCACTCACTCACTCACTCACTCACTCACTCACTCACTCACGCACTCACTCACTCACTCACTCACTCACTCACTCACTCACTCAATCACTCACTCACTCACTCAATCACTCACTCACTTACTCACTCACTCACTCACTCACCCACCCACTAACTCACTCACTCACTCGTCCACTCACCCATGCACTCACCCACTCGCTCGCTCGCTCGTTCAAGCACCCGCCCACCAACCCACTCACCCACCCACCCGCTCGCTCGTTCAAGCACCCACTCATCCACCCATGGACCCACCCGCTCGCTCACTCATTTGCTTGCGCACGCATAAACGCTCGAAAAAATGGCCCGTGTTCGCTGGCTAATTCAAACGGGAACGTACGGTAATCTGTGGTTCAGTGCACTCTCCGGCTGGTATCCACTCATTCGGATGACTGATGTCATTCTTTTCCACGATATATTTCTCGATCGGACAGCTGCCGTCATCCAATGGTGGATGCCAGGATAGGTCCATCTGATTGCAGTACACGTTTGACGTCTCCAGCGGTCCCTCGGGCATGGTGGGAATATCTAAGAACGAGATGAATAAAAGTAACCGCACGTGCATGAACTTCGGTTTACCCGTATAGAAGTCGTGCCTAGCATATAAAATAGCGATTGAGAAGGTAATGATGAATGTAATGCCAGGCATTGGTCAATTTCGGTTTTACTAGACAGTAAAGGATTTAATGAACTAATATTTCTTACGCTGGTGATGAGCGAACACAAATATAACTGGACGTTGGGGTGCAGGAATTGTCGCATCTCGCAAAAATATGAATGATAAAAACATGAATTCTATATGAATAGGGCAATATAAAGCAACTAGGTATATATATATATATATAGAAGCAACTTACCCAGTATATTGACGCTGAGTGGGCATCTGGTCTCACCGACGACGTTGGTAGCCCGCAGCTCGTATTGCCCCTTGTCACCTCTCTTTGGTTTTCTCAGCTTTATCTTGATGTGCCTCTTCTGCACCTTGATTTCAATGTTCTTCTTCACGAGCTTGCCGTCTTTGAACAGCTGTGCTGTTGGCTTGGTACCTGCCCCAGCATAGCGATCTTAATACACGTGCAGTGTAAACGAAGCAGTCGAAATGACACTAGCGCGCAGAGAGATGCAAGAACCAGGATTACGAGCGCTCTATGCCTTTTTTTTATTTATCTACGGAACGAAGTGATCTGACACGCGAGAATTACCATTGTAGGGAAGGTCGATCTCTAGATCCTGGTCAGCCGTGCCCGTGTACAAGTCCTTTACTTTGCCGAATACTACTGGTCGCTCAGCTGCAATGAGATAATCAAGGGGTGCTCTCATTAGTGTCGTTCGCAGGAAAAGTATCGTCAGGTGATAGTTTAGGAAATTGATGACTACCACAATCAAACATTTAATCCCGGCGCACACGTGAGTAATTTTACTCAAGTAAAATGACGCATGAGTCATTTTACTCACGCGTTATTTGTTCAGCGTCCGCCGCAAACGTGAGTAAAATTACTCAAGGTATAAGTGGTAATGCAGATCACGTTAATGGGCGCAACCAATACTGGTCGCAGCCGTCTTTAAAATGATTTAAACGCATGCGCTGTGAGTACCAGTGTTGAGTAAATATACTCAGCGCGCGCGCACACGTTGAGTAAAATGACGCATGAGTCAAAAATTATCAAACACGTTTGATATTCAGTAAAATGACGCATGCGTCAAATTACTCAAGGAAAATCCGCCGCACACGTGAGTAAAATGACTCAAGCGTCATTTTACTTGAGTCAAATTACTCACGTGTGCGCCGGGCTACGTGTATACACGTGTCCGAAAACAAAACGTTCACACCCATGCAGTGGTAGGAAATAAAAAAAACTGTAAATGCCTAATTGAGATCATTGAGATATTGTATCTATACCGATACGTTAAGGATTTTAACGCACTGCCATCGCAACATACCTTCAAGCACCTGGGCTTCGGCAGTAGAACTTATCTCCCCGGACTTGACTGTATATTCCCCAGAGTCGAACATCTGTGCATCTTCGATAACAAGTTTAAGTTGGTTGCCATCCTGAATGATCTTGATTCTGTAAAAGGAGAATAACAATAATATACTTGTAATAATACACTTTCATAATACCGATCGAGTGACAAGCATATAGTTGGCATTTTACCTTGCGCGCGGTAAGCGGTGAATTAAATTATAGATCGTGTCAAGCGGTTATCATTGCTGAGTAGGTCAATATATAGATGCAGCCCAGACATTTTGTAACCGTAAAGTCAACGCTTACCTGCCCACAGGCTTAATGATGTCCTCGCCATGATACCACGAAACCTTAGCAGTGGAGTCACGGACAACGGCCTCGAATTCCATCTTTTCTCCTTCTTTGCACTGTACTGGTGCCAGCTTCTTGATAATATCGTTGGCCGCTACGCGGACGAACAACACACACGTTAAGAGTTTAAGTACCGTTTGTATGAAATCAGTGAGCAAATTTTTTGGTTTGAGAGGTATGTATTATGTAGCAATGACTATAGTAAAGTGGATAAGCATTCAAGATAAGACACAACCAGCAGGTTCATAAGGATGGGTTAACCGAGGCGGTGGTTCTCACTATATCGACTCAATACCTTTACAGACACTTACGTTCCACCTTCAACTTGGCGAAGGAGTCACCATAGTGTGGATCGTTAGTTCTGCATTCGTATTTTCCTGGAGAATTCGTGAGGTCGCAGTGCTTTACTAGGAGTGTGCGCGCCTTTCCTTCGCCACCAATCACGTATTTGTCGTCATCCAGTGAGATTTCTTTGCCATCCTTAAGATATCATGGAAAACGTTATAAGTGCAGAAAACAGACGCAGTACTCTGCTAATCCATTGCTTTTTCATGAAATAAATTTACAGTTGTTGCAGGAATCTGATATCGCTTTTTAGAATACGTCCGCCATATATTGGCTTCTTGTTAAATGAACTTGTGCGTTCTGATGCAATAGTAACTCAGTACACGTGTGAACCCCAGACAATGTCGAATGTTAGCAGTAATGAACCCATCATATACATACAGACACTCATACCCATAATATATTTATATACATTATTATATATATATATATATATAGAGAGAGAGAAATAGATAGATAGATAGATAGATAGATAGATAGATAGATAGATAGATAGATAGATAGATAGATAGATAGATAGATAGATAGATAGATAGATAGATAGATAGATCGGTCGATAGATAGATAGATATAGATAGATAGATGGGTCAACTAACCGCTTGGCAGCAGATGATTACCTGTACTATTTTGTGTGCACACATGTTAAAATTTATATTGAAGACTTGCCTTAAACCATTTTACGGGAGCCTGAGTATCGCTGACTTCGCACTTAAACAGGGCGTCCTCATCCTCGATGACGTTTTGAGGAAGCAGACTCTTTACGATTTGGTACCTGATCTCTGTTTAGCATCGAGAAACATTTAGGAGGTGCACGACAGCGAATGGTTAACCATTTGTATATACTACGATATATATTACATATAACTAGTTCCCGTCGGCATGTGATCAATACGTATATGTTTCTGGGAACGAGTGTACGGTCGTTGTCGATAACTCACCCTCTACGAACAGCGTCGTAATCGTATGAGTCTCGTCGTTAATCTTGCACATGTAGTCGGCCTCGTCCGACAACTGTGCGTCGAAAACCTTTAGGAAGCATCGGTTGAGATGGTCCTTTGTCATGCTGTGCTTCATCGTGTTGATGTCGATGGCACTGGGGTCATTCTGAAACACTCGCATGCTGGGAGGTCGCATTCTGCCATGCGCATGATGATAAACGGCAGATGATAAACTGATGATAAACGGCAGGCGATCAAGTCGGTTTATGAACGGTTAAAGATCGTAATAAAATTGTAAAGCGGTGCGATGCTATGGGCGGCTTGTCAGATTAACTCAAATATTGTCTGGGACAAAAATCACGATGATTACGCGAGCACACGTGTAAGTATGGGGAGATGTCTGATGAGAAAACACGAAACATTCTATATTCTATATTCGATATTATTAATACTCGCGATAAATATATTATGCACTTACCTTGCAGGAATCATTCGTACATGTACTGTAATGACGATAACGAGATATGTGACGAATGCTTTATCACAGTGGTTTTTAACCTTTTTGGCCCCACGACCCCATCAGACATTTTTGGTCAGCACCGTGACCCCCGAAACAAAAATGTAAAAAAACAGCCCCATATATGAAGACATGTCTGCTAATACTCAGTCAATGGGATGGCTGAAATTGCTTTGCAGCCATTAGGCGATCAAATTTTTTTTTACTTGGCCGGGTAAGTAAGGAAATATTTTTTGTAGCACCATGATAATTATATAGAATTTAAATGGATTTGATTCATTTATGACCCCCTGATGACCCCCGGAAAACCCCCCAAACGACCCCTATGGGAGTCACGACCCGCAGGTTAAGAACCGCTGCTTTATCAGCTACACACTGCCATTCAGCACTGCGGCTGGGCATGCAACCCGCGAGCCACGTCATTCATACGCAATTTACATTTCATTTGCAGCTATCATGATTAACACCAACTTCTACATATTGAACATGTATAGCTCGGGGTTCGCTAAACTCAGATACTTAAATTTAGTGAAACGGTTGTTTCTATATTTCCCATTGCAGTGCCCCGTTTCACACACACACACACACAAACACACACACACACACATATATATATATATATATATATATATATATATATATAGCCTGGTATCTGGTATGTGTAGGCCTACCTAGAAGATCACAAATGTAGTATGTAAAGCTCTGTAATGGGTCTTATATCAAAGTACATTGGAGCCGATCGTATATCATATAGAGGCGTAGAAATTGCCTAATCCTACCGTCGGCATTATTTAATAGATTTGGCGCAGATATCCAGAATCGACACTGCTGTTGGTACCTCAATGAACGTTACATTTTGCAAAGGCAATTTGTGTGTGCCAATATGTGTATGAATGCTGTGCTTCACGTGCCAAGGTCATCCGTAAACTGCGAATGCCGTCTGTCTTGCCTAACAGACGACCTCCAGTTTCTTCACTCGTAGACAAACGTTCCCACTACAGGGCACGTTTCGAGTGCCGATACCGTGGCGGCATTGTCACTATGGCCTGAAGACGAGATGTCTCTCTGATGCGCACGCATAGTGTGATTGGCAGGATGGTGCTGAATGTATTTACTCAATCTCCGCACATATCAGGTAATCGTATTTGAGACGAAACGTATACGCGGGGAAGCGGGCGGTGTAAGGTTAGGGCGGAGGTTAGTAGGGTGGTGGTAAAGAGCGATATAAGACAGAGGAGAATTGTTTCGTTATATGTTGTAAGTAGATGATTCGTTTACGAATCACGCTCTAACTGATTGATGGTGGATAGCGATATGCCTAAAGTAGGCCTATATGACACATTATAGAACAATCATGACGATACATATGACAGTAAGACGACAATGCATTATAGAAGAACATGGGCAGAACATGGTAAACAAAATGCAAGGGGAAAACGGCTGAACGATAAAATAGATGTAGAAATAAAAATAAAGCAACAAATAATTCGTCTCAAGTATAAAACCAGGAACGGCAATAGGAATGACACAGTATCGCACGAATGATTCCTGCTCTTTATCTGTTTGCCCTACTATAATATGGGACATATGATCTGCCAGATCATATATATTTCTAATCCTAAATACGAACACTCTACTGACTCGACAAAACGACCGATTGCTATAACGCAATAAGAAAATTGCTATAATGCAAATTTTCGTTTTCAGGGAGAAACAGCACAGTATAAATATGGGGATTGTTATATATATGTTAAAAAGACGAAGGTTCGTAATCTATCTATGCGCCACAAAATATCATGGGCGCTTTAAGTGAACCCAAGACGCACGTTAAGCGCATTTGCTATGTAAATAGTAAAAAAGCTCCAAACTCATTAGCTTTTCTAAGGGGATGTACAGTAATATACAGTATATGAGTGTAATACACCATATATACTTACATTCTATGGAACCATAGTCGTAGCAATCGGGAAGAGAAATCACATGCGTAAAAAAGGAAATAGACCGATTAGCAAAACTCATTAGCGCAATGTGATGCTTGGCAGGAAGGGCTAATTTGTAATTACTTCTGGTGTCCTCGTTAAAGGGGTATATTGCAGCAATTCCATGCGGCCCACCATATTTACATTGCGAAAGGTATATACAGTATATATATATATATATATATATATATATATATATATTATATATAAGCTGAAAAGGTGCCCATGCAAGCGACAGCCCCCTGCTTTGTCGTCAGATTCGTATTTTCTTCGAAATTTATTTGCAATTCACAAACGTGCCCTATGCTTAATTTTCCCACCCAGTCAACCTGTAGCCGGGAGCTGTGACTTTCCTTGCACAGCTATTGCTTCATGAGATAATGATGTGCGGAAATTACAACGTCGAGGGTTAATGCTTTATCCCTACGATCCTGTCTGACGTCGAACACGTCATATTCTCTAACCATTGCCGCATTGCTTTGATTATGTTTTATCGTTTTAGCTAATCATAATTTTAGGTTACACGTATGTAGTTAGTAAAAGATTTTCCCTTCTGAACGTTCAACTTACTCATGTGACCATGACCGCAGCCACCTCTATTCTATTTAGCATTGACGGCAACCATTGCTACATTTAGCCACGACTGCAGCCACCACTGCCGTAGGCAAATCTAACTGAAAATAGTGCTTTTACAGCTAAACCTTATTGCAAATGGCAATATTTAATTTAAGTTGACCTTCAGTATGAGCTCCACTCCTATCAAATGAGTTTTACCGCAAACATCATTATCTCACGCCAAGCTGCAACCTTCACAATTGTCAATACAAGGTATTCTACAATGCACTCACATCGAATAGAATGTAGCAGGGAAACGAAATTCATTTTATAAGGTTCTATAAACAAGGTATCTATCTACCATTGCGCTAAGCTATATATTAATGCCTAGTTACATACAGAGCGTATGTAATCATTCCATATGTATATTCTTTACATTACATCACATCACATTACATTACATTACATGTGTATATTACATGCACAGAATTCATATATATATATA